AGAACCCCTTCAGATCCTCCCGTGCCACCTGTTCTTGGATCAATGACTTCCTAACCAACCGGACTCAATCGGTCCGACCCCCCACCACAGATCACTAAGGTCCCACACCCCCAGACTCACAAACAGCCTCTTCCCCCAGGCCATTTGGAACCCCCATACCCCACCCATGTCCAATCACCTTACCAATCTGAGCCATGGTCTAAGTAGCCCTGATCACTCAGGCCACTCACACACAGACTCTATACTCAGACCAAGTCTTTTGCACTACTTCCAGGTGCTTTGTTGTCCAATATCTGTCTTTTCTATTGTGTGCCTTTCTCCTGTTGTGTATATTTCCCCAGTTTGTTATCTTATTATATATATTTTGCACTGCACTGTTGGCGTGGAGCACCCTCAATTTCATTGTACATGTACAATGACAAAATGGGCTATTCTATTCTATTCTATTCTATTCTATTCTATTCTATTCTATTCTATTCTCACTACAGATCACAATGCTGTCTGCAAACATAATAGTAAATAGAAATTCCTGCCCAACATCACCTGTCTGTCCATTATAATTGCAAACAAGAAGGGGTTTAGACCTGTAGTGAAACCTGTCTGTCACTTCTCATGCACACTTACTATCTTTCTATCTACATACATGTCCTGCACCGCGCTCACATACTTCTCTGCCACTCCTGACTTCCTAATGCAAAACCACAGTTCCTCTCTTGGTACCCAATCATTTGCTGAGTGATGACTTTCTCTAAACTTCTCCATCAACACTTTCCTCCACTGCTGGCTTGGTGCTTGCTCTCTTTCTCACTTTCCACCTTTTCTCTCTCAGTGTGTTTGTGAGGAGGGGCTTATCGCCTACAGATTCCTGTCTGGCACACTTGGTTGTCCTCATCTAATCACCTACCTGCAGTTTTTAAAGCTAGACTCTTCCACCCACTTCCTGCTACTTGTTAAATAAGTTATAATGGCAACAATGTTCATGCTTCTCAAATTTTCTACTTTTTTTGTGATTTACTTTACTTTTTGCTTACTTACCTGTCTGCTTTCTCACCAGTGGCATCCTACTCAGTAGGGTTAGGGTTAGGTTCAACAGAATTTGCATTTGTGTAGCCTTCAACCAACGCAGAGGCTGCAGAGACACACTTGTGTAGCCTTCCAAAAAACCAGCAGCAGGTCACCTGATGGTAGTGGTGCGAAGCGTAGGTTGAATGCTGTTCAGTTGAACAGTTAGACTGTACTGGAAAGGGAACCAAAATTAATCACAAAAAGGAAGAAGCACAAAGTTTAAGGACCTAAAAAGAGAAGCACAGATTACAGATACAGCAGACAATGTTTGTATTCTGTTTAACACCAGGCTTCGCTGCATGATGAAGTTCTTTGACCATTATGAGCAGTTGCCTCTAAATAACAAAGAAATTCTTAATAAAAAGTCTTGAAAAAAACCTTCATGTCCTAAAATGTACTAGTTTTAAGAAAAATATTACCTTTTTGAATTTGATGGCAGAAAAACTTATAAAAAAAAACTGTGACAGGGCACTCTGCTCAAGGCCATCTTGACCCCATCTGAAAGAAGTAAATGTATCTTCCTCTGTCCCCCCCCCTCACCCCCAGTCTACGACACCACTGCAGTTTCTTGTTCCTTTCAGCCCACGGCAGGCTCGGCTGTCATCTTTTCTCATTTGAACTCATGTTCATTTCCATTTTGATTCAAGTGAATGTTTCAGGTCTTATTCAGCTAATTCATCCAGATCTCTATCTGACAGCAGTGTCTCATTTCCCATCAACCTACCAACCAACCTAAGGCAGGTTTGAAAATCTGTGCGCACAAATCCTAGAAGGGATGATTACCTGAGATCCTGTAAAAAAAACAGGTGTATGATTGACCTGAATTTGACAATAAAATCGTTTATAGCTGCAAACTCAAAGATAAATACGCTCTTATGCAGACATAGAAATTTAAAACCTTCATTTTCTGGTGCACCTTCTGCATGATATCTGCAATTGAGTTGCCATTTTCATCTAAGCAAAATAATACGGAAGGGACACTGTGTCAGGAATGTAATTCGGTGAAGTGCATGTGTGTTGAGTTAACTAAAACTTTGTTAAAAAAGTTGTTAAATTTCACTTTTCACTGTTGCTAATATTATGAGATGCTGTAATCAGTAACCACTTATTCCAGTTCTGAAAAGTCCTTCATAAAGGGCGCCTTCAGGTGAAGTACAATTTGTTTCTAAATTAAAATAAGACTTTAAAGACCAAACTTGCAATAGAAAAACATATTAAAAGTTAATATACATAACAAGCAAACAAAGACATTTATGATTGGTATTCTATTGGAGGTCTTTGGATGGTCAGCACCCAGAAAAGAGCCAGCAGTTCTTTTAGTTACTATTTTGAGTTTCGTTTGATTAGTGCATTTCAGACCCAGAGTTTGAACCTGTGAGTTCAATGTTAACTCTGAGCTACATTTTAATAGTCTTTTTGCACAGAGTGAGAATATGCTGAAAATATTGAGCACTTTAGTGCAGATTAGTAGGAGCGAGAAGAGCTTTTTTGTGAAGCTTAAACTTTGTGGCTAGCAGGATTAGGACCAAGATGCAGGACTCAGGAGAAAAGGAATAAACTCAAAACTCAGCTTTATTGCCAGTAATTCACAGGAAACAAACTAAATCATACGCGGAGTAGAGCAGGAGTAAACAAACTGGAAACTCACAAACTTAAGAGAGGACACGACAAAGGGCAAGGGGAGACGCAGACAGTATATACACAAGGTAATGAGGCTAGGAGAAAACAGGTGGGCACAAATTAGGGGGTATGAGACAAAGGAAGTTAAATTCAATAAAAGGAATGCAAGAGAAAATAAATGAGGAGATAGCTTGCACTGAGACAAAGACTCTAACATATGAACTCCAGGCACAAATAACACATAGACATAAAAATACATGAAGAACATAACAAACAGAAGCCCGTAACTAATAAAGAACCAGAACACAAAGCCTTGACAAAACCCACAAAACTCAAGACATAGAAACCGTGACGATTTTGGTTGAACATCTATTCATCATGTTTTCTTGGTTAGGGGTAGAGAATTATTTGGTCCCCTTCTTTTTTTGTTAGAGGAATGATTAGAAGCTTTTGTTAGCGGTTCCATTTCTTGAATTGGTGTGTGCTGCTTGTCCTTTCTTATGTGGGAATAATGGGGAGTCGCAAAGTCTGTCATATATAGGTCCCAATCAGGCTGGGGACATAACGTAAGGATCGCCACATTTGAAATGTCACTTGTAGAGGCCTACATTAGATTTAAATTGATATGTTTCATTGATAAATACAGAGAACAGTGTTGGAAAGAGCTGCGATGAAGTAATACTGCTTATTTTTGATACTGCTGTCTCTATGCAACAAAGAAGGAGGGCGATGTGTGCGTGTGTGACTCTGACAGCCCATCTCACAGCTGGGATACCCAGTCCTCAGGAGTGTGGCGTTCAAGCCGTGGGGGCGCTGGTTATTTTGGGAACCACCGAGGAGGAAGTGCTTATTTTTGCCGCCATCCAAGCCCCCCACCACCAATCACAGCCCGCCTTCCCCTCACCCTTTCCCCTGCCTCCCGCCGTCTGACAGCTCCCCTTGTTAATTTGCACAACCTCAATTAGCCTTCAGCGGGGAGAATAAAGGAAGTGGTCAGACAAAATCCCTTTAAAGGGTCTATTCATTGTAGACAAGGAGAGTGCGTGGGGTGGGAGGGTGGTGGTGGTGGTGGTGGTGGTGTGTGGACGGGATAAAAATACATCTGAGACTGAACGTGTGTTTGATGTTTGCACCATGCAGCAGCGAGGCGGTTCAACCTCTAAACGGGGAACTGGTCTTTGAAATGAGACCTGTGATGTCAAACGCCACTATCATTGAAAAAAATCTATTATCTATTATATATGTATATACACTATATACACACTACCTGAAAGTATTCATTCTTCACAGAGAAAAATTATAACTCGGTGAATGAGCATTAGGTGACTTCAGGTTTACAAGCCAGGGTCCCTTGAGGATTTCACCTATTAGGGAGGGCAGGAAAGCAAGGTCAAAGTTGGATATTCATTATCAAAGTTGTAGATGTATACACTGTGCAAATTGGTGTGAGTCTCACCGTCTCATCTGCATGAAGTTTTGAATAAAGAAAAAAACAAAAAACAAACAATTTTATATATTTGGAAAGTAATCAGTTTGGGACTAAAGAAAGGATGTGGAAGGAACTTAGAACTTAACTCACTGCCAGTTCTGGTTCATACGATTTGTTGAAACATTTGTTCTTATGCAAAACAATTGCCATTAATGTGAGCAATCATAATTGTAACTATGGCTTACCTTCTGTAAAATGCAAGTTGATTGATAGAACTAGTATCCAGTACATAAAGCAGCCAAATTTCAGTCTTCCTGAGTCAGTCAAACATTGGGTTGTGCCTAAACACAAATAAACTTTCATTTTAGTCATTTAGCTGCTGCTCATCCAGATCATGTTAGTCTTCAGTGTTTGAAATGAAGGCAGATGGATTTTTTTGGGGTTCACCTCTTAACCAAGAGTCCCAGGTATTTATACCCTAATGGGGTGGTCCTGAGAGCTAATCATGTGAGTCATTAATGGTCACATGAGCCAATGTGTAGCTCATTACCATCACAGGGGCCAAGGTGTGAGTCCTTTATGAAACACTGTCCTACCCATATGAAGGTCACATGGCTCAAGGTGTTAGTGGGAACTGAATCACATGGGAAGGGATCTTAAGACCCCAATGGATAGCTGACAGCTGGTGTCCTTGGTTCAGTAATGGTCATTCACTATGGACGTACATGACCTTCTTTACTCATGAGTAGTAATTGATATCCTTTAATGGTCACAGAGCGCTTTATTAGGAACAGCATATTAGTGTCTTAATACCATGTTGTGGCAGGGCGTGGCCTGCGGTGCCATGCAGAGGAGGCGGACGCACCTGCACAACAGGTCCCAAAAAACGAGAGCACATTACATTTGTGTGAGTTATACTCTGTATGTTTCTGTATTAAAGTAAATAATGTCTGAGTCAATTCAAAAGTTACCTGAGGTCGGGATAAGCAGATCCCAGTGAAACGATTTGCATCTGTATGGCAGGAATATCTTGGAGTTTTAGCACTTCTGCAATCTTGGTCAGGATTTCCTTTAACCAGTCTTGTTTGGATCCCTGTGAAGACAAATCAGTGACGTCAGTTTAGTCTGCAAGTTTCCCCAAACTGTAATGTGTGTAAGATATTAATTTCTGAGTTACACATTTTTAAATTTATACATTTATCTTCCCAAGATTTATAAATGTATCTTTTTTTGACAGGGGTTTATATGCAGAAAGTGGAAAAAAGTGGGAGTGAGGGGAACAGAATAATAAATAAGGACAGCACATTGTTGAACATTGTTTCTGCAGTCTAAAGTGATTACCAGACTTCTATAGAAATCATGCCTTTGACTCATAATGTGACTTACATATAGACCATTTGGTCCATCACTTTCTATAGGTCACACTTTTGTTCCTAAGGAATGAGTCCATTGGTTTTCCATTGAGTGTATTATGTCCAGCCTTGGAGGATCACATTTTAGCCAACTCCTCTGAACAGCCTTTTCAATTTTACAAATCTTTTTAATCAAATTATTTTTAATCAAAACTTCCAAACCAAATAAATGTGAAATGCAGCTGATTCTTATACTTATTCTTATTTTTTCCAACAGCTCAGCAGAAATCTGATCACTTTTGGGTTTTATTCATGTCTCAGCTAAAGTGTGCAGTGAAGGTGAGTCTCACCATTCTGGCAAACAGCTCGTGCAGTCTCTCTCCATTTTCTTGCACAGTCTCGTAAGCCTTCTGCTGCTGATTGCTGTCCTTCAGTTTGACCTCTCCTTTCAGGAGCCTCTGGACATATTCCACTGTCACTTCCTGCTGAAGCCGACCAATCAGCTCCTGAATTTAGCCCAAGTATATAAGTAGTCAGAGCACATCATAATCCTTTTACTAAAAAGTGGCAATGAAGGCAATAATGGCCATTCAATCCAAAACAAAGTTTCCTCCTTTTACCTGGTAAGAGGACTGTCTCGAACCCTGAAGTTCTTGAAGCTCGTCTTCAGTGCTGTTCAGCAGCTTCTCAAACGTGTTCTTCTTCAGCCAGTCACTGGTTCCCACCTTCTGGTAGTGTGGCTGTGTGAGAACAAATAACACATTGTTTTAAAATCTTTGATTAAAACATGTTAGGATTTAATCCTGAGGATTATTGATATCTGCAGTTGTAAAGAACTTACTTTGAGGATCTTGTGCACAGGAGTTAATAAATAAGTGTGGGCAGACTGTTTCATCTCAGTCAGGACCTGCAAACAGTTTTTCTGCACATCCTCTGGGAACAGATCGTGCTTCTCAAAGAAGTCCCTTTAGACAGACCACACAGGACACATTAGCTCACAGTGACGTATTCGTATTCGCCTTTTATGATGAAGTTAAAATCTGAATTTCCATCTAACTGGATCAGAAACATACCTGAACTGTTCGACACAGCTGAGGTTTGCCTTTATGAAAGCTTTGCTGTGCCGTTTGTTCTGCCTTATGATGTCTTCATGAAACTCTTTATACCTGCAGAAGATTAAGAACAGCTTTCACTTTTATTATCTTGTTATTACCAAACATTAAACTAAAATGTATTTTCAAATGACAATATTTAAAAGACAGCCTTGTGAAGCCTTGTTACCTCTGCATGAAGTCTGTCAGGTTGGATGTTATTTCCTGGGCCTTGTGTCGGTCTCTTACAGTTATATGTGCTGATGTCACGATGCCGTTGATAAACTGAAGACAAATGTATTGACAAATCAGTGGCAGTTTTAAGCTCAAAGCATAATTTTCAGATCCAGTTAAGCACCAGGAG